TAAAAAACCTTGAGAGAATTTTAAGAAATGTCTACCTCAGGACCAGCAGTTAGCGTAATGGCTATGTCGCTGGACTCCCATGTAGTTGACCGTGGTTCAAGTCCTGGACCCCGTGGCTTAAACTCAACGCTGGGTGAGTCTCCCTTTCTATCTCTCTGTCTCTCTCTGTCTTCCTGGCGAGCGCATGCGCCCGATAGCAAAAACCTCTCAAAAAAGAAAAAAGAAATGTGTACCTTAAGATTTTAGTCCCAGGCCAGACTAGATTCCACACTGCTGATTGAGTAGTTTGAGTCCCGGCCCAAGTGCCTTGAATGACATGCCTTGCACATGTGCGAACATGCCTGAAATCCTAAGAGAATGGAAAAGGAATTGTGGTCATCCCCCCTGGGAGCGATTTTTCACTTCTCTCCCTGTCTCTTTCTCTCTCTCTGGTGATTACACATGCCATATAGCAAATACAGGTTTTTGGTCTTATTCTTCCTTATGGAGTATCAGTTGTGTGTTGGGAGGGGGGAGTATAGAACCCTTCCTTAATAGTCTCATTGGTTTGTTTGTTTTGTTCTTTTGATAACTTTTTATAGCCTGTCTGCATTTTTCCATTTTCATCCTTTCTGTGTACTGTGTCTTCAATTTCTGATACGTTTATTTTCCAGACCATTTCTCTGGCATGGTTTAATTGCTTTCTGATGTATCTTATTACTGTTACTATTGCTTATCTTTTCTGAATAGCTATTTTGATTCTTGAGTATAAAAATAACTTTTTTTTATTATGGAAAATTTAGTGAGTGTTGGGAAATGTGAATATAAAAGTTGCCTGTAATTCCACTATCTAGAGATAGTCTTGTCTTTTTTTCCCTGTTCATGCATACTTGTCCTAACATTTATTGTATGCAATCTTATGCATTGCTCTGCGGTTTTATGTAGCACTGTGTTCAATTTCCTCTGATAAGACAAGCAAGAAGTAGAAATGTATCAAATTGTGGAAATATATCAAATTGTGGATTTTTTAAGCTTCTTAATATTTATGAACAAATTGCTTTTAGAAAGGTTATACCTGTTTAGCTACATGTTTACATGTTTATTATTTTTTGAGCTGTATTTAGGCAGATAAAAAGCTTCATTTTAATTTGCATTTATTTCATTACTTGTAAGATAATATTCTATTTAAATTTCAGTTTCTCTTTTAATTTACCTAATGACGACAACAACCCTCTTATTTGTTGCAAATATTTCTTCACATTGCACATTTTAATTTTAAGATTTTTGACACAAGAAAAAAATGTTATTTGGTGAAATTTTGCTTCTATCCCTATAATTTCTTTGCTTTTATGCTTGGAAAGTCTTTTGCCGTCCCTAGATTAACTATTTGCTTCAGTTTTATGTTTTGGGGGTTTTTTTGTAACATTTTTTTAATTGTTTGCTAATTAATTTTGTTTATTATTTTCGAAAAGATATTTTGAACTTCTAGTGCTGTTAAATGAAACCACTAGTTGTTTGAAAAAGAAAGGATTGACCTTTTTTAATTTAAATTTATTTATTTACATTCATTCACTATAAATCATTACAGCATACAAAATGAGATTTTCCATCCAGAATACACTGTATATTGGCTCAGTCAAGCACATCAATATACGTGTTATAGTCAACAAATAATTTTCCATTTCTTGTTTCCTGTATATGTTGCTTTTTTTCTCATCCTTGATTCCCTCTCACTCACCTTCTGCCGTCTCCCACCCTCCTCCCACACTGTCTCTGGTATCCATGGTTGCTTTCTATGTCTTTTCTCCCCTACATTTTATTGATTCACTAAAGATCGTAATTAATCTAAATATTTTCAATAGCAAGCACAGCTGATATATACATATCCATGAACACGAGTCTGACTTTAGGCATAAACCTCACTGAGTAGAATGAACATACTATAAAGTAGCATATAGCTGGGGCTATATAGCTTACTGCAGCCATCAAATAGGTATTTTTAATGCATTTTTTTATCAATTAATTTACATTTATCCCCTAAGCATCATCACAACATACAAAATGTGATTTTCCATCCAGAATATACTGCATAGTGGCTTAATCATGCATGTTATCATCAATAATTTTCCATTTCTAGCTTCATATATATATATTTGCTTCCATGTCCGACCCTTTGCCCTTTCCCACCCTCTTCTCACAGAATCTCTGGTGTCTACAGTTGTCTTCCATTCCTCCCCCCCCCCATTTTATTGATCACACAATGTCTCAAATAATCTACCTACTTTCAATAGCAAGTTCAGCTGGTAATTTCAAAAAAAGCAGTTTTGAAATGGTAAGGAACTTCGCTTAAAACTTAGCCAGGAAACAGGTTAGGATTCTGTTCACATAGTAGGTACATGCACTTATCAACAGCTCGAGACAGGACAAAAATCCCTTAAAACTGGACAACAAAGCCTAGAAGAAAAGCAGCAATATTTTAGTCAAACGTCACAGAATGCTATTTCACCAGTTCAGTCTCATGTACTTAATCTATCTTCTGTTGTGGTTCAATCTTCCCGATTGAATTCTGGGATATAATATTCATCTCCAGACTTGTCCCTATGATTAAGTTAGCCATTTTCTTAGTTTTCGAACTCTTACTTCTGTGCGTCTGTATTTAATTTTTCTGATATAGCACTCCCTTGGAGAACTTCTTGGTGATCTGGCCTGGTGCTGGTAAATTCTTTCAGGTTTTGTTTATCTGGGAATGTTGTTGTCTTGTCTTCCCGTATGAAGGATAATCTTGCCGGGTACAGTGTTCTTGTCTGAAATTGTTTTTCCCTTAACTCTTTGAATATATTTTCCCATTCTTTCCTTGCTCGCATTGTTTCCGATGAGAAGTCCACTGTTACCCTGATGGGATATCCTTTGTAGGTAACTTATGTTTTTCTCTTGCCAGTCGTAGTATCTAGTCTTTGTCTTTGGTTTTGGTCAGTCTGGCTATCATGTGTCTTAGAGAACATCTTCTTGGCTTGGTTCTATTTAGAGTCCTTTGTATTTCTTGGGACTGGATCTTTGAGTGCCTCTCTAGATTTGGAAAGTTTTTTTGCAGGATTTCATGGAATAGATTATCAATGTCCCTATGAGTCTCTTTGCCTTCTGGGATACCAATTATCTGGATGTTTTGGATGTTTGCTGGTATCTAGAATTTCTCGTATATTATTCTCATTTTCGGGGACAATTTTCTGTCTTTGTGGTGGATTTTTCTAGGCCAGCAATTTCTTCTTCTACATCTGAGATTCTATTTTCTGTATGATCTAGTCTGTTTTTAATACTTTCAAGGGAGATTTTGACTTCCTGTATTAGAGCCTTCATCTCTACCAAGTCCATTTGATTCTTTTTTAAAATGTGTAATTCTTCTTTTAGATCTTGCGAGAATTTCCTCACCTCCTGGAACTCATCAACTCCTTTCTCTTGCCTCTTCTGCATTTCATTGTCTCTCTTTTCCTCTTTGTCTGTTAACTTCGCCATTATGAATGCTCTAAATTCTTTATCTGACATTTTCATTATTTCCATTGAACTGTCTGTGGATGAAGAGGAGCTGTTCTTTTCCCTTGGTGGAGAGGTATTTTCTTGCTTTCCCATATTTCTTGTGGCCCTGTGATGATTTCTAGTCATCTGATGGATGGTCTGTTTCTTCCTAAACTTGTAGTTCAATCTGCGCGTTCAGGAGCATGCAGAAAGAGGTGTTCTGGAATCTCTTTGCCATTCTGTTTTGATCCCTTTGCACAGCAGATTCAGTAGCTATTGGGGAATATGTTAACCCTAATAGTATTTGGATGTTTGGCTATAGTTCCCTTAGATTTGTCTAGAAGCACAGTGAATGGAAATTGAAGAGCAGAGAGATGGGATAAAAGAAGAAAAGGAAACAGAAACAACAGCAACAACAACCAAGAAACAGAGAAAAACAAGGAAAAAAAAACTAAGAAAATTAAATAAATAAATAAATAAAAGCAAAAACTAGAGAACTGCACGACTAGTTCTCAGGAGCCATGAAGGTGTCTTCTTCTGAAGGCCTGTCCCCTTGCCTCTTTTGGGTGGGAGGGTGAGAGGGGATTGTTAACAAGATAACGGGAAAGAAGGGGCTGAAAGCTGAGAAAATGCTTTACCTTAAAAAAATTTTTAAAGGAAAAATTAAAAGAAAAATGAGAAGACAGACACAGAATTAGAGAGAGACAGAAGTCTTGAGAGGCTTCCTACCACTTGAGTTTGTGGACTAGAGGCTGAATTTATTAGTGGAAAATCTTCATTTCTCTTATTTCCCTGAAATCACTAGTTCTCAGGAGCCTTAAAGGTGTCTTCTTCTCAGGATTGACTTATTATATACTTAATTCTTTATAAAACACCTACATTTGATTCTGTACTTAGACATCTATTCTGTTTTTCAGTGATTGATTTTTTTTTTAATCCTACCACATTCTATTTTAATTGTTTTACTTTCCTGCAGAGTAGATCTCCTCAGTATGTATTTGTCTCGTCTCTTCTTTTATAAGTTCTTTGATAGCTAGGATCATGTCTTTTTTACCTTTGTATTCTAAAAAGCATCTAATTTACTTTTGCATATTTACTTCATTATATGTTATTTCAGTGACTTCCAGGTAGAGCATTATCAGAGAACTTAAAAATCTGAGGCTGCTTCTGATTTTCTGACCAGTTTTTATATTTAGCCACTCAGAAAACTTGCAGGGATGGGAAAGTGAATGAGTAATTCTATTTTAATTACTACTTTGAACATCATTGTATTTACTGAGTACAATTTTATCTATTGTTAATGTCTACAATGAAAACCTAGTTTGATAATCTAAGAAATTAATTCTTATTGGTAGTGAATAATTTTTGGCCAATATGAAGTTACTTCTTTTTAAAATTTCAAGAGGAGACATTACTGCTTTCCTTATATATTTCCTAAAATAAGTTACTCTAAAGATTTACTTATGTTTGGAACAATGCAAGTGAAATCTTGAAACTTTTTTTTCTTATAGGTAATTTTAAATTGCTCAGCTCTGCAGAGTTTATTGCATTTACTGAGTAGCCCAAAGGAATCTATCAAAAAAGAAGCATGTTGGACAATTTCTAATATCACAGCTGGAAATAGGGCACAGATTCAGGTATTCTCATAGCACCTTGTCTTGTTATGTTTTTTTTAATAAGTAAGATTTTTAGTCAGTGTTTACCCTTCGTATTGTTTTATTACTTTGAAGTCCACTGACTTCCAATGTTGTGTCTTATTTTATAGTCCACATCTTTTTTTTTTTTTTAGGATTATTTATTTAATATCATTATTACTTTCACATGAGTTTGCCAGAGAAAAACACAGAGACAGAAAGAGAGGGAATGCAAGCTGCCAGGTCCAGGACTCAAACTGTGGTCGCCCATGTGGGAATTCCAGTGCTTTAACAACCCCGTCACCTGCTTGCCCCCATAGTCTACATCTTACTTTCTCTGTCCTAGTGTAAAGATGCTAAGTCTTTTTGGACCAGCAGTTAGCCTAATGGCTATATTGCTGGACTCCCATGTAGTCAACCACGGTTCATGTCCCGGACCCGGTGGTTTAAAACTCAGCCGGGCGCGTGTGCGTGTGTGCCCAAGATCCCGAGAGGAGAATGGAGGAGAAGGGATTGCGGCGTGGCCATCCCCCCTGGAGGGGTGATTTCTCTGTCTGTCTGGCTTTCTGTCTCTCTGTCTATCTGGCAAGCGCACCTGCCCTATAGCAAACCCCCCCCCCCCAAAAAAAAAAAAAAAAGCTCAGCCGTTTTTTTTTTTTTTTTTATGGCCACGCCGCAATCCCTTCTCCTCCATTCTCCTCCCGGGATCTTGGGCATGCACGCACACGCGCCCGGCGTGAGTTTAAGCCACCAGGTCCGGGACTCGAACCGCGGTCGACTACGTGGGAGTCCAGCGACATAGCCATTACGCCAACTGCTGGTCCCGAGATGCTAAGTCTTTTTGAAATTAACATTTAGGCCTTGTCTTTTGTTTTTAATGTTTGATAATTTACTGAGATCCAAGAAATAGTATTTCTTGTGTTTTCAAAATATTTTACGAACTTTATGTTAAGCAGATTGGCTTTTACTCTTGTCAAATAAAGAAAAATTTTTGTATTTTTTTTTAAACTGTTTGATGGATATGCAAGGTAATCAGCAAATTCATGTAACATGGGATTAAAGTAAGAATTTGGGCAAGTCCCATGTAGCCTAGTGGTTAAGGAGCAGGACCTCACGTGGCCAACTGGGCATTTCAAATCCCAACTTGAAAAACACCCTGGGTACATGTGCATGCATGTCAAAATCCTGAAAGGTTAGAGAAATTGAGTGGAAGGGATTGTAGTGTGACTATGCCCTATGAGGCAGGAGCGTATTCTTTCTCTCCCCCTGCTCCTGTCTCTGTTTTTCTCTGGTGAGCATGTGCACCCTCTGGCAAATTTTTCAAAATTAAGTTTTGTGGTACACGGGACTCCAACATAATTGGCTCTGGTTCAAGTTCTGGACCGAGTGCCTTAAAACTCATGCCAGGCTCATGTGCGTGGGTGCCCAAGATCCTAAGAGGAGAATGGAGAAGAGATTGTGGCGTGGCCATTCCCCCCAGAGGGTGATTTCTCATTTTGTGTCTCTCTGTCTCTCTGGTGAGTGCACATGCCAGATAGCAAAAATCACTCAAAAAAGAAATTATTTTGGTGCAAAAAAAATACTTGAAATCCATGCATAGTTTTCCCATATTACACATTATCCATGAACTTTCAGAAGACCTCTCATATTACTTAAATTTTTCATTAACCTTTGGACACCCATTTTTCTTTAAGTGGTCATCTATTTGCCTTTGATTTTTGTCTATCAGAGGGGAGAGGATCCTGAATGAAAGACAATCAGTGGTCTCAGGGGTTCTATATGGGCCAAGATCTAGGCTTGAACAGTGAGTTAAATAGAGAGACAGACTTGGACTTGGACCTCAGTCGCCTCATAGAGGTTATCTAATCTAACATTTTCATTTACCATATTATATACATATATCAAAGTATCATAGTACCCCATAAATATATAAGATTGTGTGTTTGAAAAAGATGAAACTGAGGCCTAAGAAAAATAAACTAATATGCTCAAAGTCACCTCTAATAAATGATAAGACCAAGATTAGATGTCTTTCCATTAAACTTTGCTGATTTCCTTCAGTAGCATAGTAGTTCTTAACTGGGGAAGTACAGTTTCTTCTCAGTGTACACTTCCTAGCGTCTTGATGTAGGAAATCACATGAACCCATTTTAGCTTCTTGATCAAGGAGAATAATGAAGGTAATTTGGGGAAGATGACTTTAGTGTTAGCGTGTGAGTGGGATTGAGTAAAAGTACTGTATCCAGCTAAAGGCTATATTGGTAATCTGATGGGGTGGTGGTGGTGGCTTGGATTAGAATGGCAGCAGTGCTGGAGGAAAGGAAAAAAAAATTCAGGATGTTTTATAACAATAGTATGGAGACTTGCTAACTGATTGGATTTAAATTAATAAGTGAATAAATAAATAGCCTATGTGAATTATAGGTGTTTAAAAGGAGGGCCAGCCAGTGGCATGGTGGTTAAGGAGAGTGGATTCCACATGGTTGACTACATTTTGCAGTATTTTGAGTAGCTGACACTCCATCTTTATCACGGGTAACATCCTTTCTGGAGTCTGTAATTTTATAATCCCTTAGTTTTATCCCTGAGCTCTTTTCTTTTTTATTGTCCTTGTTCCTCCCATAATAACAGATTTTAAAAGCTCAATTCTGGTTCTTTCCACTTTTAACTTTTTTCTATTTAAATTTTTCTTAATTTTAGACTGTGATAGATGCCAACATTTTCCCAGCCCTCATTAGTATATTACAAACTGCTGAGTTTCGGACAAGGAAAGAAGCAGCTTGGGCCATCACAAATGCAACTTCTGGAGGATCAGCTGAACAGATCAAGTAAGTACTAGTGAGGGAGCATCTTATAAAATAAGGAAATTTTATTATTGTATCTACCACTTTATAGCCCCTTCCCTATCTTACTTAGGTGAGTGGAAGCTAGCTGCATTCGTCAAGTCTGTATCATAATTAGACCTGGGTATATATTTAATTCCTTACACCACTACCATGTCTTTTTGCTGAAAATAATTCAGGGAGATAAGAAGTAAGTCATGGTTGGGAACCAGCAGTTAGCGTAATGGCTATGTCGCTGGGCTCCCACGTAGTCGACCGTGGTTCGCGTCTCGGACCCGGTGGCTTAGAACTCACACCGGGCGTGTGTGCGTGTGTGCCCAAGATCCCGAGAGGAGAATGGAGGAGAAGGGATTGCGGCGTGACCATCCCCCCTGGGGGAGGTGATTTCTCGCTTTCTGTCTATGTCTATCTCTGTCTGGCGAGCGCACACGCCCTATAGCGAAAATCTCTCCAAAAAAAAAAAGTAAGTCATAGTTGAGGTTTGAGGAAGCCAGGGTGGCTTCAGCCTACTCTGGAGCTGCTTGAGCAGAAATACCGTGGATGGTGTAGAAGGTAACCTATTAAACTTAAAATTCAGGGACAAGCCATTGGCATAATGGTTATTACGTCCCTGGATTCCTATGTAGTTGACTGGTTTAAGTCCTGGACTCAGCAACTTAAAACTCATGTGGAGTACATGTGCATACCTGCCCACAATCCCAAGAGGAGAATATAGGAGAAGGGATTGCAGTGTGACCATCTTCCCCGGGAGGTGATTTCTCACTTTCTGTCTCTTTCTAGCAAGTGCACATGCCCTGTAGCAAAAACAAAAAACTTAAGAGTTCAACTTTAATAGCCAGCTCTTTCTATTTTTAGTTTAGATGTCCTAATAGTAAAGTGGTTTTTTAAATTTCTTTTCTTTCTTTTTTTTTTTTTTTGAGAGGTTTTTATTTTTATTTTTTTTGCTATAGGGCATGTGCACTCACCAGACATACAGAGAGGCAGAAAGACAGAAAGCGAGAAATCACCCCCCCCCAGGGGGGATGGCCACACCGCAATCCATTCTCCTCTTGGGATCTTGGGCACCACGCACATGCGCCCAACGTGAGTTTAAGCCAACAGGTCCGGGACTCGAACCGCGGTTGACTACTTGGGAGTCCAGCGACATAGCCATTACGCTAACTGCTGGTCCCCTAATAGTAAAATTTGACCAGACTTGAAAAAGAGGTGACTTAGAATAAAATGGCAAGTTCAGTAAAGGAAAGTATCTTCTAAAGTGCTATGGTATTTAGTAAAGAAGGAGATCTGTACTAACTTGAGACTTAAATGACTTCCTTGGTAACAGATTATAATCTTAATGGATAGAGAAGGTGTAAATATGGATGGAAATTAGTTCCTCAAGGAGACATCATGCAGTTAAATGTTAAATTCTGAACATCTTATACACTATTTCAGGTTAAAAAAGGTGAAAAAAAAATATAAATAGTAGTATTGATAATATGACAAAAAAAATAAAAATGAAGACTGGGACGTGGACTCTCCACCTGTCCTGACTTTCTTCATGGGGAAGATGGTTTCAAATGAATATTAAAACTTTACCCTTCCTCATGTAAAGCGAATTTAAAAAGTTCACAGGAGGGACTGGCAGGTAGTGTGGTGATTAAAGACACTGGACTCTGACGTAGCTGGCTACGATTCAAGTCTTAGACCTTGTGGTTTGTTTTCTCACTTTCCCCTCTTTGTCTCTCTCTGGTCAAATTGGAAAATAATAATAATAAAGGTAAATAAAATAATTCTTTTTTTTTTGAGAGAGAGATTTTTGCTATAGGGTGTGTGCGCTCGCCAGACAGAGAGAGACATAGAGACAGAAAGCGAGAAATCACCCCCCAGGGGGGATGGTCACGCCGCAATCCCTTCTCCTCCATTCTCTTCTCGGGACCTTGGGCACGCATGCACACGCGCCCGGCATGAGTTTTAAGCCACTGGGTCCAGGACACGAACCGCGGTCGACTACGTGGGAGTCCAGCGACATAGCCATTACGCTAACTGCTGGTTCCCAATAAAATAATTCTTTAAAAAGAAAAAATATATAGTTCATCAGAAAGAGACCAGCTGATGGTATAATGGTTACATTGCTGGACTCACATATAGTGAACCGTTGTTCAAGTCCCAGACCCAGTGGCTTAAACTCACATCGGGTGTATGTGCATGCATGCCCAAAATACCTAGAGGAGAATGGAGGAGAAAGGGATTGTGGTGTAGCCATCTCCCTGGGGGATTTCTCGCTTTCTGACTTTCTGTTGAGCACAGTACCCTATAACAAAAATCTCTTTAAAAAAAAAAACAAAAACAAACAAACAAAAAAACCTGAAGTTATGCATGCTCAACACGAGAATATGGAATTAAAATACACATTTGTTTTGGTGCAAAATATTTGAAATCCATGGATATGTTTTTCACAGTTCATATTTTTAATGAACTTTTGAAGACCTCCCTAATGTGTAATATCAGAGGAGCTAACTATTTCTCAAGTTGTTGCTCTGTGGATTAAATGTAGGCACTCAACAAATACTAATTTTAAGTGCTGTTTGAAGTTAAAAGTAAAACTAGTACTAAATGAATTGCAGGCATTGATCAGGTAGAGAAGATAGGAATAGTACCTGAAATAGTACAGAGGCAATAGATCGACATGTGCAACAGCTATATAGGTCAAAGTTCATCCTGGACTGGTTTTTCAAAGAAGACTTCAAATGATTTTCAGAAGCACATTTGTCTTTCAGATCCTTTTCAGCCTCCCAAATTCTGGTTCTTGGGGTACTGTGATTTTTAAGTTTATTGTCATTACATTATAGTAATACAAAGTAATGAAGAGTTAACTTGAGTAAGTCTTATGCTCAAATTCAGATTTATAATTATTAATTGCCTCTATATTTTATACCAATTACATTTTCCTGATTGAAGGAATTAAACTGTAAGCATACATATTTTTTAAGACATTTCTAATATTGTGCTATCTTTTATCAGAAAGTATGTAGGAGTATTTTGCTCCATTATAGAAGAGTAGAACTGCTTCTCTTCTCTCTTAAAATTTAGCCTAGCTAAGTAAAATAATGAAGTTAATTATTAATCTAGGGACCAGCAGTTGGTGTAATGGCTGTGTCACTGGGCTCCCATGTAGCCGACCGCTATTTGAGTCCCAGACCCGGTGGCTTAAACACACTCTGGGTGCGTGTGTGTGTGTCCCCAAGATCCTGAGAGGAGAATGGTGGAGAAGGGATTGAGGCGTGACTATTCCCCCCAGGGGGTGATTTCTTGCTTTCTGTCTCTCTGTCTCTGTCTTTCTGATGCGCGCATATGCCCTATAGCAAAAATCTCTAAAAATAAAAAAAATTTATCAATCTCTTCACAATTTTTCTAGGTGAAGAGTTCTAGCCCTAAAAGGTTGTTACAGAAATCTTACGGTCCAAGTTACAGATAATAAGCTGACTTTATCACAGTAAAAGACGTCTGTTTGGCTTCTGCTGCTGCTTTTCAAGACAGGATTTAGATAAAAGAACAAGTTGGTGGGAACCAGCAGTTAGCGTAATGGGTATGTCGCTGGACTCCCACGTAGTCAATTGCGGTTCGCGTCCCGGACCCGGTGGCTTAAAACTCATGCCGGGTGCTCATGCGTGCGTGCCCAAGATCCCGAGAGGAGAATGGAGGAGAAGGGATTGTGGCGTGACCATTCCCCCTGGGGAGTGATTTCTCACTTTCTGTCTCTATGTCTCTCTCTGTCTGTCTGGCGAGCACATGTGCCCTATAGCAAGAAAAAGAACAAGTTGGGGGACCAGCAGGTCAGGTGTGGTGGTTAAGGCTCGGGACTCCCATATGGTCAGTTATAGTTCAAGTTCCAGACCTGGCCACTGGCTTGCTTGGTTTCTGTCTCTGTTTCTCTCTCTCTCTCTCTGGAATGCACATACCCTATGGCAAATTAAAAATATACAATTCTTTAAAAAAATAAAGGAAGAGGTTATATGTAGGCATGTGCCTCTTAATGACTATTCAGTCAGTGACAGATCATATATGTGATGGTGGTCCCATATTATACCACATAGCCTAGGTATATAGTAGGCTATACCATCTACGTTATCATAGGCGTGCTTTTCCATATTCGCAATAACAAAATCACCTAATGATACATTCTCAGAATGTATCCCCATTCTCCTCCCCCCCGCCAATTTGTCAGAGGAGAGTGTGTATGTTCACTGGAAGAGAAAGAGAGAAAGTGACAAAGCATTTCCCCAGTGGAGAATGGTCACTCTGTGATCCCTTCTCCATTTCTCCTTCCTTTCAGGATTTTGGACATGCACACACATGTCCTCAGCATATTTTTCAAGCTGCAGGACCTGGGACGCAAACCACTGGGTCAGTCATGTGGGATCCAGTCACCTTAACCGCCTCTCTGCCGGTTGACCATATCCCCATTCTTAAATGATACATGACTATAGTTTAAGTAGTATTTATAATTATATGTTGAATATAATCAGATGTTTACATATACTGTAATAAGACTGAGGTATAAGGAATGTTAAGTTTAATTAGAGAAAAGATTCATGAAAGAGCTGAAACTTAGCATCTGGGTAGAGATTTGGCAATTTTGGAGGAGAGAATAGCCTGAGGAGAAGTGTGAGAATGCACAATAAATAGTAGAGGGACCAGCCCTGTGGCCTACTGATTAAAAGAGCGGAGCCCTACAAGGCTGAATGTGATTTGAATCCCAGCCCCAGCAGCTTGAAAAACTTGTTCAGTGCATGAGTATGTGTGCCCCAGATCCTGGCAGGACAGAGAAGTAGGGGAGAAGGATAGGGGCATGGTCATGGGGGTTGCTTCCTCTGTCTCTCTGTCTCTGGTGAGCTGACTGTAAATCGTGGCTCCTCTGACTTTGGTAATTACAGACTGAGATCAAGTTTATAGCTTATTTCCTTTTTATCACTGAATAAATATTATCACAGTTTACCCATTTACTTGCTGAAGAACATCTTGGTTCCTTCCAGTTTTTGGTAATCATTAATAAAGCTGCTGTATACTTTGGTATTCGGATTTTAGTATGGACATATGCTTTTATTTCAACTGGGTACATGTTTAGGATTTGAATTGCTTGCTCATAAGGAAAAATGAGATTTACATTTGTTAAGAAACTGCCATGTTGTCTGGTTCCAAAGTGGTTATCCCACTTTTCATCCCTCTTTGATTTTCCACTGGCAACAAAGGAGAGTTCCTATTGCTCTGTCTTCTTGTCAGTATTTGGTGTGTCACAAGTTTGGATGTGAGCTTTTCTAATAGTATAGGGAGTGATATTTTATTATTTTAATTTGATTTCCCCAGTGTCTATTATAAGATGCTTAGTGTTAACTCATATTTTTATTTGCCATCTGTGTATCTTCTTGGTAAGATGTCTGTTCAGCTCTTAGTCCTTTCTTATTTTCTTTTTTTGAGAGGTTTTTGCTATAGGGTACGTGGGCTCACCAGAAAGACAGAGACAGAAAACAAGAAATCATCCCCCGTGGGAGATGGCTACACTGCAATCCCTTTTCCTCTATTCTCCTCTCGGGTTCTTGAGCATGCAGCACCCAGTCTGAGTTTAAGCCACTGGGTCCAGGACTGGAACCGCAGTCCACTACATGGGAGTCCAGCGACATAGCCATTACACCAGCTGCTGGTCCTGCTCTTAGTCCTTTTTAAAAAGTCTACTTTTTCATTTTCTTATCATGTTTTAAGAGTTCTGTGTTTCAGATTTCAGGTTTTTGTTTGTTTTCCTTCTTTTGCTATGGAGTGTGTGCACTTGGCAGGGCCTAGAGAGAGAGAGAGGGAAAGTGAGAAACGACCCTTCAGATAAATGCTGGCACCACAGTTCCTTCCCTATCATTCTCCTCTTGGGCATGTAGGCACACATTCCCAGCTTGTTTTTCAAGCTATCGGGTCTGGTACTCAAACTGCTTAGTTGACTCACATGGGATCCATTTGTCTTCACTACTATGCCACCTATTGGCCCTGGATACCAGTCTTTTATCAAATATGTGTGTTTTCTCCCAACCTGTGGCTCATCTTTTCATTCTCATTACAGCGTCTTTCATAAAGCTTTAATTTTTTTAAAAAACAATTGTTTATTTAATTCCATTTGTTATTATTATTTAATTTGATCAGAGAGAGAACGGGAAAGCGAGAAAGCAAGCCACCAGTCGGCCATGTGGGAGTCCAGCGCTTTTATCCACCATGCCACCCACGGGCCCCATCACAAAGTTTTAATTTTAATGTAAAGTTCAGTTTATCAGTATTTTTCCCAATGGATTTTTTTCCTTTATTAATGCTAGAACATGTGGGGCCAGCAGATGGCTAGCAATTACGTCACTGGACTCCCACATGGCCAACCACAGTTTGAGTCCCAGACCTGATGGTTTGAAAATCACACCAGGCACATGTGTGTGTGTGCCCAAGGGAGGAGAATGGAGAATGAATTTTGGTGTGGCCATCTACCCTTGGAGGTGATTGATATGCCACTTTCCCTCTCTCACTGTCTCTGTTTCACTCCAGTGAGTTCATGTACCCTAAGGCAAACACCTCTGTAAAAAAAAGAAAAAAAAAGATAGGAATTGTGTGTGCACATGTGGGAGAGAGAGAGGAGCACCCTCCACTGGGTCCGGTCATGCCACAGTCCCTTCTCTCCAGTCCTCTAGCCCTCTGGATCTTAGACAGTCATGCCCAGTATGTTTCAGGCTGACCAGACCAGAGTTTTATTGTTTTCCTCATACAGATTCTTTGCATATTTTGTTAGATTGGTACTTTTTTAATGCCAATGAAAATGATATATTTTTTTTTCCTCCTATAGGGCGCATGTGCTTGCCAGACAGACAGAGACATAGAGACAGAAAGCGAAAAATCACCCCCCAGGGAGGATGGTCACGCCGCAATCTCTTCTCCTCCATTCTCCTCTTGGGATCTTGGGCACGCACACACACACGCGCCCAGCGTGAGTTTTAAGCCACCTGGTCCGGGACGCGAACCGCGGTAGACTACGTGGGAGTCCAGCAACATAGCCATTACTCTAACTGCTGGTTCCCAGTGATATTTTATTCTTTATTTCAAATTCCAATTGTTTATTTCTGGTACATAGGAAAGCAGTTGAATTTTCTATCATGCAACTTTGCTATAATCACTTATTAGTCCAGGATTTTTTTGGTCTTTGTGTTTTGTTTTTGTTTTTTGTTCGTTCTTTGGGGTTTTCTATTATACATAGTTGTAATGTTGCCTGAAAATAATAAAAAGTCTAGCCTTTTCTTTCCCAATCTATGTATCTTTATTTCCTTTTCTTATTGTATTAACTGGTACTTCATACACTATACTTTTTTAAAAAATAATTATTTATTCATTCATTCGGTTTAGATTGACCAGAGAGAGACAGAAATAGAGAGAGAGAGAGAGAGAGAGAGAAAGTGAGAAGGCAAGCCACCAGGTCTGGGACTCAAAACCGTGGTCAGCCATGTGGGAGTGTCAGCACCTTAACCACCATGTCACTTGCTGGTCCCCAATACACTATACTTCTATGTTGAGTAGTAGTGGTGAACAGGATATCCTTGTCTTATTCCCATTCTTATTTTTATTAAGTATGATGTTCATTATTTTCCTTGAGGTTCTTACCAAGTTAAGAAAGTTCCCTCTCAGTTCATTGAGAATTTTTGTCATGAGTGAGTGTTGGATTTTACTAAATGCTATTTTACATGTATTGAAATCATGTATTAACAGAGTGGGTTACATTGACTTTTGTTGGAATACTTCCTACTTGGTATATAATTCTTTCCATACATTATCTTGGTATTAGGGACATTTTGACATCATAGAATAAGTTAGAAAGTATTCCTCTGCTTTAGTTTTTTGGAAGAATTTAGAATGTTAGCATCATTTTGTCTTTAAATGCTTGGTAACAAATACTGAAGAATCCATCTTGTCCTTGTACTTTCTGTTTTGCAAAGTTACTAGTTTAAACATAAAAACCTATTCAGATTATCCATTTTTCCTTGTGATTGGTAGTTTGTGTTTTTAAAAAAATTGGTCTCATCTAAGTTATCTATCAAGAGTTGTTCTTGGTATTTCTTTGTCATTCTTTTTTGTCCAGGGGTTCAGCGATGATGACCCTCTTTTTAAAATTTTTATTTATTTATGTTATTCTCCAGTTTGCTGCACTAGAGATTTTTATGTTTTTCAAAGTCTCCTTCCTGCCCAGCCCCACCACCCTGCAAAGTCAGTGTTTGAGCAATAAATATATTAGCATTATAGTAACTCCCAAAATGACCTTATTACACATTCACAGTATGCAACAGGATGTATTATCTCTGCCTTTCTGCATACAGCTTTGAAAACCAGGATGATGCAGAATAACGTGAATCTTTGCTATATATGATGGAGTAACCATGCATCTCAGGTTAATTTTGATTACACTTAAATTCTGCCTGAATTGAAAAAATAACAGTCTTAGAGTTTTCCTTATATTTTTTTCTACGTTATCTTCTCACAACTTTTTTTTTTTTTTTTTTTTTTTAGTAAAAGTCTAAATACATTTGGGACTGGCAGATGGTGTGATTAAGGCACTGAGCTCCCCCTTGACCAACCATAGTTTAAGTCCTGGACCTAGGGGCTTGTTTTCTCACTTTCCCTCTCTCTCTGGTCAGATAAGTAATAATAATAGTAAAATTGAGGAAAAAGAGGCCAGCAGGTGGCATGGTGGTTAAGGGCATTGGACTCCCACATGGTCGACCACGGTTCGAGTCCCAGACCTGGTGTCTTGCTTTCTTGCTTTCCCTTTCGCTCTCTCTAGCTCTGTCCCTCTCTGGTCAAATTAAAATGAATAAATAAATAAAGTTAAATAAAATAATTCTTTAAAAAAAATTAAGAAAAAAACTCCAATCACATTTGAAAGGTTTGGCCTATTAGGCCTGAATGCTTTAGCACCCAGTGTGTCATGGTGGAAAGGTGTGACTACCTGTAAAATGAGGATGGAAGTAATCCAACCTGTACTCTTTTGGTAAATGGCTTATGTTCAAATTAGGAAAGCATTCTTATTTTGGGGAGTCCAAAAATTATAAAGGGAGAAATGGATGGAGATGGCACCACGGTGTTGTAGTTAACTTATTTGTAGTTTTTTTGTGTGTGATAGGGCGTAGCTTGTTAAATGAGTACTTATTTTAATATGTGTAGTGAATTTGAGGATGAGTCACTAATTTCATAAAAGTTTTATGAAACTAAAAGTTCTATTTAATTTTTTTTTTGTACTAAATTAGGTACCTAGTAGAACTGGGTTGTATCAAGCCGCTGTGTGATCTTCTCACAGTCATGGACTCTAAGATTGTACAGGTTGCCCTAAATGGCTTGGAAAATATACTGAGGCTTGGAGAACAAGAAGCCAAAAGGAATGGCACTGGCATTAATCCTTACTGTGCTTTGATTGAAGAAGCTTATGGTAAGATGCCTTGATTTAAGGGGCTTATGGCCAAGAATTAATTAGGCCACAGATACGGTCCAGTAAAAACACTGATGCTGCTGCTAGACTTTGGGCGATGTGACTGTATGGAAACCGCTGCTTTTTATGGACTGGATGTTGCTTACATATGTATTTAAGATGCCATTTTGTAATAGTAACTTTCAAATGTGAACCCAGCAATAGTTTTTATGTTATTATAAAATACTTAAGGGACATAACTGTAGAATTTTTCTTTACATCAAAAGAATAGACAGGGTAAATACAATAAAAATAAAGTTCATTGGAATTGGCAGTATTTATTGGGATGTTCAGTAATGATTTTCTGTTATTCTTTGTTTTAGGTCTAGATAAAATTGAGTTCTTACAGAGTCATGAAAACCAAGAGATCTACCAAAAGGCCTTTGATCTCATTGAGCATTACTTTGGAACTGAAGATGAGGACAGCAGCATTACACCCCAAGTTGACCTTAACCAGCAGCAGTACATCTTCCAGCAGTGTGAGGCTCCTATGGAAGGTTTCCAGCTTTGAAGCAATACTCTGCTTTCATGTTCCTGTGTCAGCCCAGGCTACGCAGTCGAGTCTTCTTGTGGAGCCCACAGTCTTCATGGAGCTAACTTCTCAAATGTTTTCCATAATACTGTTTGCGCTCATTTGCTTGCCTTGCGCACCTGCTCTCTTACACACATCTGGAAAACCTCTGGCTCTCTGTGGTGGAATACCCTTCTTAAAAAGGGTAACCAGAATGGCCCACTCTCTTATGGAAAAATCCCTAGGCTTTGGAGATCCGCACTCATATTAGAGTCATGGGAACGTACACATATTAATGTGGCTCCCTTTTTTTGTGGGGGAAAAAAAAGGATTCCTCCTCATTCCCTTAAAAGTGGGAAAAAATACTGACATTAAAAGATGAGACTAAACCTTTATCTTGAATTTCACACAGCTCCTTGTGACAAGGGAATTATTTAGACCTGTTGTGTATACTTCAGAATACTTGTCATGAGTTCTTCCACAGTGAACCCTTGGATTACCTGGTGGCTTTTTCTAGCCAAATCTGCATTAATCCTTACCGAGATTGGATGGTTTTCTTTCCTTTATTGGCGCCATTCTTCAGATAGTAAAGTTAAACCATCCACTCCCTCACCTTCAGCCTTCAGTGAATGTGCTTTCTAGTTGTCAGGAATGCTGAAGAATTAACACTTTGACTCTTAGATGTGATACTGGTTTGCAGATTCCCTTAGAGCAGAAGGGAGAGGGGCACATATATTAATTTGTATGGCTTTTGCTTCTCTTTGGTCTTACATATTCTAGGATTTGGAAGTGGTTCAATTCTAATGCTGGTGTGAAGATTTAGAATCCTTAGTTATCAAAAAACGTATTCTATACTTCAATAAAAAAGTAAAAAAAAAAAAAAAAACTACCCTCCAGTTTGCCCAAATTTAACCAGTATGACTAGAGACTGTGTTTCTGCATTAAAGCAAATGTTTCAGGCTTTGTGGTCCTGATCAAGGTCCTCATGAAGTCGGAGTTTACCTTAGGTGCTTTCCCCTCTGTGACTAGCAGGTAACACGTACTTTTAAAGTTCCTTAGGTGTTATTTTTTTTAGGGGCAGCTCAGTTCTAATATATTCGCATTGCATATGTGATCCCTTCAATGTAGCATCCTTATCTTTAAAAAAAAACCAGAAAACAAAAAACTTCTCAACATAACCTGCTTATCTCAGATAAGGGCAGTGATTATTTCCTTATAACCTCTTTGTTCCTTGATCATTTTATTTTATCTCCTTTTATTACTGCCTCCCCCAACTCCTGCCAAGATAAAAACAGTGTCCACCTTCTGGCTCACTTAATGATGACTACAATCTGTACCTGCAAATGGCGCTTCCAGTGCGGTTCAGTGATCCACATTTGTGCTTGGACTGGAATGAAAAATAAGCTTAATTGCCAAGAGAACTGCAATGAGTCAATTCGACTTCTCGGTGCTAGTTGGCCATCTTGACTCAATGTTTGGGATACACTATCACGGAAGATTATTTGTTGATGTGCTGTTCAAAACAAACTCTGAAGGAAAAGTTGCTCTCTTCTGTTTCAGAGCATATACCCTTTTAAGCCTCTTTAGACTTGTCCTCTTCTAGAATTCATTGTAACCCCAACGTCTAAAAACTATTTGGAAGTTGCCCCTGACAAGCTATTACCCATCTCTGGTAAATCCTGCTG